ACTAATGAAACAACACTTGTCTGTGTACTTCCAATGGAATGCCAAAAAGTTCAAAGTTGATGGATATTTCTGGATGAACCCGAACGTACTGTTCTCGCATGTAGATTTTAGTTTTGCTATGCTTTGTCATCACAGTAAACAAATTGGAAATCGACTTTTTGTCTATATATTGACGCAAAATGGTTCCTTTTTTAGTCGTATTTTTTGAGTATCGTAGAATGTTAAGTGCTAACAAAGTACGAAGTTTATGTTCGTGAGTCTCCAGTATTTTGAAAACTTGGCCATGTGGTTGTTTCCGTTAGGAGGATCGCACAAAGAGTGAGTACCTTACCATATAGAGTAAATTGCTGTTTCATTGTGAATTGGTTGAAGGTATTTTCAGTGTTATTAGCTTCAATTGTTCACGTTAAAAAGCAAAAGATTTAGCTTAAATCTATCATATTCTGACTTTGTGTTTCGGGGAGAAAAAGCTGACTAATACAACATTGCTAACCTTAAGATAAATATTTTAACTTATAAACTTACTATTAACCCGGTTATTCACAGAAGCTGGAAGAATTTGAGTAAATACGCTTCAAATTTTAATGAAAATTTTCCTTAATTTGACAATGGTATACTTATATAAATTACGGGATTCGTGTCTGGAGGTTTTCGGCCTTCCAATTTTTTTTATTTATTTATTGAATTAAATGTCTTGAAATGTGGAAGCTTTAAACAATTTCTTTCAGAACGTGCAATTAAGCACAAACAGCCGAACTTAAGAAATTGTTTTTAACATATAGTAAATACCATCACCCCTCTAAAACTAAGCAACACAAGATTTGCGTTATAAAAAATCTTACCATCTGCGGAACAATCATCCCCCGAATCTTCCATCGTGCTCACAATGATAACCGGAGGTTCCAAGTCTTCATCCATTTTAGAAATACTCATGTCTTCATTAATGCTTGGCTCGAGATTCTCAACATTTTCATCGAACGTTTCAATTTGCATGGCGTCGCTATTCTGATCCTGTTTCAATACCGTTTGATCGTTGTTATAACATACAATTTTAATTAATTCGTGATTGTTTGACCCATCAACATTTTCTTCAGCTAAAGTTAAAAAAGTTGGTTAAGCGCTTTACAATAACGAATTAACCTGATAATCCAAGCGTGGTTTTAAGCAAATAAGGTAAAAATATCATTCAAACCTGTTTTCTAAAAATCGTTTCCACATTACTTGTAAATTATTTAGCTTCTCTGACAAAATTTCATACTTGGAAGCCAGAAAATTGAGATGAATTTTTAATATGCATTAATATGTTCAATTTAAAAAGGTTTACAATCGTTGTGGATGAGCATTGTGTACGTAGTAGGGTTACTTAAAAATTATTATTTTTTTACCATTTTCCTTATTTAACAGGCCATAAGATAAGCGAAATTTACTATTAGACCTTACTATTCAAATTAGGCTGCGAATTCTCAACGCAGATATCCACTACTTCATTGGTAAACTCTTGATTTTCACATGCAGTTTCACTGGTACTTTCTACAGCGTGAAGGCTAAGAAACGGTTTCTCTGCCATATCAATGATTCGCTTTACTTCAGCTAGATCATTGGACACTGTCCTGGACAAAGACTGATATCTTTGACTTTGGCTAGCCCTGGGATAAGATTGCCTATAAAATGGCATATAAAATAAAAGATGATGTTCGACAGGCAATTCGCAAACCTGGAGGCAAAACCTCTTCCTCTGC